GGCGGCGGTCGCGTGCGTCGGGCGGTCGGCGTCGTTCTCGTCGGCGCCGGGCGCGACGGGCGGCGGCGGCGGGGGGAGCGGCAGCCGGCGGCCGGGGCCGCTTGCAGTGGGGCTGCCCGATGAGGGGCTCACTGGCTGCGGTCTGCACTCGTTCTCGGGCGCCGTCGGCGGCAGCGGCGGCGCGTTCTCGGGCGCACGATCGCCGTCGGGCCACGCGCCAACTACGCCCGGACCGTACGGCGCGCCAGGCCTCGGCCGCAAGCCCGTGTGGGAGGCGGACCACGCGGCGCCGCCGCCCGCGTCCGCGGCCGCGCGGGCTGCAGCCCCCGGCGCCGGCGACGCGGCCACGACCTCGCCCGGCCGCAGCAAGCTGGCGCCCGGCGCGCTGGCGGCGGCGGGTGGTGCGGGCGTGGGCGCAGGCAGCAGCGGCTTTGGCGGCGGCGGCAACCCGCTGCTCAAGGCGGCCCTCAACTCAGGCCTCAACAAGATCAGTCATCTGACGCAGCGCCCCGGCACGAGCAGCGCCAGCGGTGCGGGCTTCCCCACAGCCGGCAGCGCAGTGGCCCGTGGCGGCGGCGGCGGCGCAGCCAGCGTGAAGATGCGGCTGAAGGACTACTTCGTCGCGCGCTCCGCCAACGAGGCCAGCAACGGCGGCGGCACACTGACGTAGGGGTGACGTCACTGCGGCGGCGAGGCGCCGAAGAGCCCAGGGCCGGGCGGCTCGCAATGGTCAAAGCGCGGCGTAGAAGGCAGAACCTTCTGGGCTGCCGGCGGTGCGTCTGTGGAAAAGGGGCGTGCACAACAGAGGGTGGACGGCAGGCGTACCGCGCGCTTTGCAGGGGCTAGCTCACCTTCATGGGGCAATGGTTCGGGGCGCTGCTGCCGCGGGCGGCGCCGGAGACGTCCATTGCAGGGTAGGGCGCAGGCTGCAGAATCGTCGATATGCGTGCCATCCGTGCGCACAGGCAGGCTTCAACTTGCACATTTGAGGGCAGGGGCGAGCGCAATGACAGCAGAATAGTGTATCCTTGTATGGCCCACAGCACGCGGGCGACGCCGCCATGTCCACCACCCCCACCACCAGCCCCGTCGAATGAGAGTGCAGGGCGCGCGGTGCATGCTTGCCTGTTAATACGGTTTTTGCTGAATTCAAAACAGGGATTGCACCTAACACTGGCCCGGGAGCTGGCAGTCGGCACCACACCCCAGCCCCTTGTATGTCAAGCATCTATTTCTTGTTTCTACGTGCCTCCAAAGGTTTTCTACGTGCCTCCAAAGGTTGCACCCCTTCATGAGGGTCCCATGCGCCACAAGGGCAGTCAATTTTTCGCGGCGTTCTGCTGATTTACCACATCGCCGCACCCGCCGTTCTGGCCAGAACTGGGTGATCAACCTACAAGAGCAGCGCCGCAGCGCTGCCTGTCGTGAGGCTAGGACGCTTTGGATATGGCATAACTCGGCATCGTGTAAGCAACAGGTATGGCTGAACATGCCAGCTTCTGATGCCAGAAGGGGGGTGGCGTCACCGCTGGATGCATACCACCTCAACAGACTCCCGCTTTCTCCTGCATTCTGTGCCCTGCAGCTCCATTGTAACGGGCCTTAGCGGCGGCCAGCCATGACAGGAGCCCGTGAGCTTCTAGGCAGTCCGCAGTGTCTCGCAACCGCTGACGGACTGACGAGAGTGTGAAGCTGGGAGCCCCCGTGCTGTGCGCGCCCTATCGAGAGAAGATCCACACACACACACACACACACACACACACACACACACACACACACACACACACACACACACCGCGGCGGCCGTTTGCGCGCTTGACGATTCAAGGGGAATCCCCAAGGGTTGCGGGGTTTGATCCAACTCAAGTGTGCGCAGGCCTGCAACAACGCTGTGCGAATGC